CCTATTCCTGGTGTCCCCACCCATGCCTCCCTGTTCCATTTCAGTGTCCCCACTGTCCCCATTCCATTCCCAGCGTTCCCAGCGTCTCCCACCTTCCGGTGCAGGTACTGGTGTTCATATTCCGGCAGTGGGATCCCATCCAGCAGCACCTTGCCATTCCCAGGATCCCACAGGCGCTCCAGCAGTGCCACGGCCGTGCTCTTCCCACTTCCATTGGGCCCTGCCAGTGCTGTCACCTCCCCGGAACGCACCTCAAAGGTGACATCCTGTGGGATGGCGACAGGTGATTCCCGAAATTCTCACCCCTGGGAAACCCCACGTGTGTCCCCCCAAAACCCCAGACCCACCTTCAGCACGGGGCGCTCTGGATTCCCTGGATATGCGAAGGAGACCTTCTGAAAAGTGACGTGGCCCTGAAGCTCGGGGGGCTCCCGTGTCCCCCCGACGTCCCTCGTGGGTTTCCGATCCAGGTATTCCCAAATCCTCTGTCCCGCAGCCGCTTTGGTCAGGAATTCATTGAAGCCGTAGAGCAGCACCTGGGGAGAAGGAAAGGAATGGCAAAGGGATGGACAGGAGCGCGGATTGATGGATGGACAGACACCTGGATTCCATGGGATCACCTGGACATGGCTGCCAACCGTGTCCTGGTACAGCAGGAAGGTGACCAGGACCCCAGGAGTGATGTGTCCATCACGGAGCTGCTGGTGGCTCCGGAAGAGCAGAAGGACCCGGATGGTCAGCTGGAGCATCTGTGGGTGGCAACAGGGACACTGGTGTCCCCATTCTGCTCCTGGTGTCCCCAACGTTTGTCCCAGCGTCCCCATTCTGCTTCTAATGTCACCATTCCCATTCCTGATCCCAATGTCCCTGTTCTGGCCTCCCCATTCCTGATCCCCATGTCCCCGTTCTGGTGTCCCCATTCCTGGTGTCCCCATCCTCCTCTCAGTGTCCCCATCTCAGCTGCTGGTTTCCCATCCCTGATCCCAATGTCCCCATTCCTGGTGTCCCCATTCCTGGTGTCCCCATTCTCCTCTCAGTGTCCCCATCTCAGCTGCTGATTTCCCATTCCTGATCCCAATGTCCCTGTTCTGGTCTCCCCATTCCAGATCCTGATGTTCCCAATTTTTGTCCCAGCGTCCCCATTCTGCTTCTAATGTCACCATTCCCATTCCTGATCCCAATGTCCCTGTTCTGGTGTCCCCATTCTCCTCTCAGTG